GGCCCCGCATCCCGCGGGACCGGGAGGGCAGCGCAGCTCCGCGCCCTGGGGCCGCCGGGAGCCGGGCAGCGCCCGCGGGGAGATTTACCGGGGAGCAGCTCCCGTTGTGCGCACGGCTAACAGGGCTGGCGCTCGGGCACGGCGGAAGTTTAAGCCTTTTTTTCCTTTTATTTTTTCCTTTTTTCTTTCTTTTTTTTTTTTTTTAATAACTAATTTTGATGTAACAATATCGGGGCGCAGGGCCGCGGGAGCGCGCCGGGGGCGGCGCAGGGCCGAGAGCCAGTTTGGGTAAAGCAGCCCTGCACCCTCAGGGAGTTCCGTGAGCCCGAGCCCGAGCCGCCAGGCGGCCGCGCAGCCTGGCCGTGAGCCGCGCAGGGGCGCGGGAGGTGCGCGGTGGGCCGGCCGAGGGCACCCAGCGCCAGCAGGCACCGCCAGGGACAGGGACAGGGGCAGGCACAGGGGCAGGGACAGGGACAGGGACAGGGACAGGGGCAGGGACAGGGACAGGGGCAGGGGCAGGGACAGGGACAGGGACAGGGGCAGGCACAGGGACAGGGACAGGGACAGGGGCAGGCACAGGGGCAGGGACAGGGACAGGGACAGGGGCAGGGGCAGGGACAGGGGCAGGGACAGGGACAGGGACAGGAGCAGGGACAGGAGCAGGGACAGGGACAGGCATAGACAGGGACAGGCATAGACAGGGACAGCCTCCCCGCACCCTGCCCCGAGCCCGCGGAGCCCTGCCCGCCCTGCGGAGCCTGCGCGGGGCGCAGAGCTGCTCGGCCCCCCGGCCATGGCCGGGCTCGGCTGCGCCCCCGGGGCGGCCGGACGGCAGCGCCGGCTCCCTGCGCTGCGCAGCGGGCCCGGGATGCGCAGGAATGCGGAGCCAAGCTCTGAAACGAGCCCGGTGAATCCGTCCCGAAAGGAGAGCGGCCGGGCGGCGCGGGGCTCCCGGCCCTTCCCGCACCCCCTGCCCGTGACGGGGCGCTGGGGGCCCGGGCCGGTGGCGGGGCCGGGGAGCCCCAAAGCAGCGGCGGCACCGCCCGGCCTCGGCCCCGCTCCGCTGCTGGGCCGCGTTCGGCCCTGGCCCGGGCCAAGGATGCGCGACCCTCCGCGCAAGGGCCGGGCCGGGCCCCGCGGCGCTGCGCCCCCGCGTTAGCAGCGCCTGCCCGGCCAGGAACGGCCTGGCGCGGCGGCCGAAGCGCTGCCGTACCTGAAAACGCACCGAAACACCAATTTACCCGAAAACACCATTTCTCCCTCCTGCAGCACGGGAGTTTGTAGAGATTTGCTTCGGTTACACCGGGCATAAATTACGCCCGGTGTAACCCAGCTCGTTGGCAATGAAGGCGCCTTCCAACAATAAAATTGAAATGCGGAGCTTGGCGAGCTGCGGGGACCCGGCCGAGCCCCCCGAGAGCGGGGCCGGGGCCGCCGCCCCCCGCTCCCAGCGCAACTTCCCGCTGGGAAAGTTTGTGCGGTGGGAAGCGCGGAGCTGGGCAGCTCGGGGCCGGCCCGCGGCCGAGGAAACAGCGAAATTACCAAAATCACGCGCTCCAACTTGCGTGATTTAAACCGTGAAATGAGAAATAAATAAGAAATAATAATAAGGGGGGGGGAAAAAAAAGTGAAATGATTGAGATAATAGTCCCGAGGGGATTGTCCCGAAGGGGGAAAAATCAAATGCTAGAGTTTCGGGGGATGCTGTCAGGGCGGCGGGAAGCAGGGGATGGGTTCGGTGGGTCCGGAGCCGTGCGGGGCAGCAGGACGCGCTGCGGGGCGGTGCGGGGGGCGCGGAGCGGGGCCGGGCCGGGGGACAGCTGGGCTGCGGCCATCTGAGCGGCTCCGCCGTGACATCTGGGAGCCCGCTGGTGTGTGGCACGCGCATCGCTTGATGTCGCTATTTAAATGCAAATTTGCGGGGGGATCACTGAAGCCTCACCCCGTAAATTCACACAAAAGGGAGACTTGGCGCCGGAGGAGGAGGAGGAGGAGGAGGAGGTGGAAAAGGAGGAGGAGGAGGAGGGCCGCGGAGCCGGGAGGGCTCGGGCCGCCCCCCGCAGCCGCGCACAGCCCCTGCCCGCCCGGCCCGCGCAAGGTGCGCGGAGAGCGGGGCCGCAATCCTGCATCCCGGGCCGGGACTGGGGGGCCCGGCCGCCGCTGCCCTCCGTCCGTCCCTCCATCCCTCCATCCCTCCATCCCTCCATCCCTCCATCCCTCCCTCCCTCCCTCCATCCCCGGCGGGCCGGGGGAACCCGAGGAGCGGCCGGGGCCGGGCTGCCCGCGGGATGCCGGCCTGGAGCGGTGCGGGATGTGCGGGCACAGCAGCAGCAGCAGCAGCAGAGCCCGGGCGGGCTCCGGCCGCCGGCAGCCCCAGGCAGCCAGAGTGACACACACACACAAAAAAAAAAAAAAAAAAAAAAAGATAAAGTTGGTGAATGATAAAGACCGTATTTTCCACGCTTTGGGTGCAGGACCAGATGATCTAGAAAATGAGCTGAAATAGATTCAGGCTCAGAGCCTGTTGTGAGGAGCAGCTGATTCCCCCATTCCTGGCCAGATGGCTTCTGAACACAGATTTGCATTCATTTTCGCTTAATATCGTCCAAAATAGTGGGGCAGCTGCATTTGTTGTCAAAAAGGTTTAAAACTCCCTTTCTTTCTGGGGCAGGATCGTTACCTTATGTGATGGGCTTATGGAACTTTTTTTTTCTCTCTCCCCTCCTTAGTCAACAGTATCAGATTTAAAAGGATTTGTTTTAAAACCTTCTAATTTGGTAATCAGATTTAAATCGCCTTGGCGCGTGTAATCTGAATTAAAGATACTGTAAATGATTTTAAGCTTTCGTTAGCGGAGGGGAAGCACCAAGTTCGGCGTTGTTCATTTGAGGAAATATCTTGCAATAATAGCGGCGTTGGGCGATTTTTTCCCTATTTTTAGGAGGGAGCGTTTTGCGGGCTGGGGGCACCCGCAGCCCCCGGTGTCCGCTCCGGGTCCCCAAACGTGTCCGTGCCACCAAATGCCACCGCGAGCATGGCATTGTTTGGGAACTTTGGTATCTCTCTGTGCGCGATAAAAGTGTTTGGGTTTGTAATCTGCTCTACTGTACCTCAAAAGCTCCGGGCTGATTATGAATACAGGAATTTTCTTTTAATTTCTCATGAATAGTTTCCATACACTTTGATTTAAGGTTATTAACATTCTATAGACAGTGGCATCTTTAATATGTGGCGATCGCTTCTAAAGACTAATCTCATTACCCTCAAATAGTCATAAAATATGATTTTATTATACTTACGTATTTAATTAGACGGCCAGCAATGTAATGGATTTTGAGATCGGGTAGAGCAACAGCTTTGATAATTCACTTATCTTTGGCAATAGTCATTAACCCCCAACACCAGCAAAATAGATTGCTTTCTAACACATCCCTTTATTTTCCCCTCTCTTCCCTCACCCCTTGGAGAAAGGGGATCCTGATAACGCAAATCGGACTTTCGATTTTCACCGATTCATTCAGATATGAGCGCCGATTTTCCCCGAGTTCGGGAGATATTAACGCGGGGACGTGGGAAACTCACAAAAATAAATACCCAAAAATAAAAAAGCGATTATTAAAAAAATAGTGCGAGGAAGTCATAGCCCACACTGGGCAGAAAAGGCTCATCACTTGAGGAGAAGATATATAGGTACGGCATGTAAATATATATTAAAAATATATCAATATGTATACAATATCAGTATATATAAGAATATCAGTATATGTAGGAATATCAGTATATATAAGAATATGAATATATTTAAAAAGCAAGATATAAAAAATCAATATATACCAATACATAAATATATATATAAATATAAAAATGTACATAAATCTATAACCCGAGATGTAAGTATATATTTCTATGGAGACACACAACAGGGGTGCCCAGGGCGGACCTAGAGCCGGGGCTGGCTCTGCGTGTGTCAGGCACGGGTATCCCCGGCCGCGTCCGCTGCGCATTTATAGCGCGGGGGCGCGCAGGGGCGCACCCGCCTGCCCCGCTTTGTCCGGCGCGGGCCCCGCCGCGCCCCCTGCACGCGGGTCAGGGCCGCTGCCCCCGGGGCCGAGCCGTGCCGTGCCGTGCCGCGCCGCTGTCCCTGTCCCTGTCGCTGTCGCTGTCGCCGCCGCCGTGCCCGGGGGGGGCCGGGCCGGGCGGGCGCGCCGCCGGACCCGCGCTCCATATATGGGCATGGCCACGCCCCCCGGTCTACGTCACGCGTGACGCCGCGTCTCCCGCGGCGGCGGGGCCCGGCTCCCGGGAAGGGGCGCGCTCCTCGGGGAGGGAGGGCCGGGCTCTGCGCGCCTCCGTCCATTCCGCGAGCCGCCACGGGCCCGCGCCCCGTTCTCCCGTGTGCCCGGCAACACCTCCGCGGTAATCAGGATTTTTTTTTTTTTTTTCCCCCCCGTTTATTTGTCTTTTGGAGCAGGAGAGCCTTGCCAGAAAGTGGTCGATTCAGCAGTGTCCTGAAGCTTTTTTTTTTTTGCCGAGCCGGTTTTTACTAGGATGACACCACGTTGAGCGCGTCTGCAAACAACAACAACAAAAATATTTATTCTTTTTTTCCCCCCCTCCCCCCTTAAAAAAAAAAAAGCCACCTCGCAGTGTCGCCGGCTGCAGTTATACTTTTTCCTTCTTTTTTTTTTTTTTTCTTTTTTTTTTTTTTTTTTAAACCACCAAACTGGAACGCCATCCAACTCGCCGCACAGAAGTACTCAGTAAATTGTTTATGTCGTGCCAATACAGGACAGATTGAAGAAGGAAGCAAGACTTGAACTGGGCTTTTCTCCTACTGATCACAGGGAGTAAAGTCATCTCTTATATTCCAGTCGCCAAGGAGAGAGAGAGAGAGAGAGAGAGAGAGAAAATCAAGCAACAACCAACCCACCCCGTATCTGACATTTCCCTCAATTTTAACCCCTTTTGGTTAGGAGCTGGTTTTGCCCAAATTTGTTTTAATGTTTGGGATTCAGGAAAATATACCGCGAGGTGGGACGACCATGAAAGAAGAACCGCTGGGCAGTGGGATGAACCCCGTCCGCTCGTGGATGCATACTGCTGGGGTAGTGGATGCTAACACGGCCGCCCAAAGGTACGTCTGCCAAATCCTCTCCCGGCGCTTTTCTCCTCCTGTGTTTCTCATCCCGGCCGTAAATCCCCCCCCTCCCTTAACTCCCCCCCCGCCCGCCCCGTATCAGTTACAGCCTCCCCGCTCCGCGCCGCTCCGCGCTCCCCGCATCCCCCCGCGTCCCCCCGCGGCCGCGGAGCCTGCGCGCCCCTTCCCGCCGCTCTCACCCACGCCTTGTCTTGTTTTCTCCCGCAGCGGCGTGGGGCTGGCTCGGGCGCATTTCGAGAAACAGCCGCCTTCCAATCTCAGAAAATCCAATTTTTTCCACTTCGTCTTAGCTCTGTACGACAGGCAGGGACAGCCGGTGGAGATTGAGAGAACAGCTTTTGTGGACTTTGTGGAGAAAGAGAAAGTAAGTCTGCCGGTTTTCTCGATTTTTTTTTTTTTTTTTTTTTTTTTTTTTTACAATTTTTTAAGCGTAATTGAGCGGAGCAGAGAGCGGAGCTCATTCCCAGCACGGCGGCTCTCCCGGCACTCAGCGGCGCCCACGCCACGTGCGGCTCCCCCCGGTCTCACGGCCGCTCCGAATAAACCACCCCGCGGTTACAAACTTAGCGCCGACTTGTTTTAAACACCGCGAAAACGGCAAAACATGACATATTTGCACCGAGCTAATGACATCATCGGCGCTCCACACCAGCAGAAAAAAAAAAAAAAAAAAGAAAAAAAGAAAAAAAAAAGGAAAGGTGACCGTGGGCTGAATTTCTGCAAACTGTTAATTCCGAGCCGCTTCAGGGACGAGAAAAATGGGCAGCAGGAGGAGGGCGATATTTTTCATGCTAAATGTAATTATTTATCGTTACTTGCAGGAGCCAAACAATGAAAAAACTAACAATGGGATTCATTATAAACTTCAGTTATTGTATAGCAACGGTAAGTTGTCGTTCTCTCATTTTTGAGCGTCCGTGTGCCGCACAAAACTCTGATTTTTCCTTCCGAGGCCTTTTTTGGGGGGGAGCAGGGGGATAAAGGGTATAAAGATTTCGAGATTAAAATTACACGCGTGTAAACACGGCTCTTTCCTTGGCATATAAGGAAAACAAAACATAAAGGATCGATAAGTCAATGGTACTTCACATGATTAACCGGTGGGGCTTGAAGTGGAAAGTAAAAAAGGGGATCGATGGCTGCTCGGGCACTTTTGAGGCACTCGTTTTTTGAGTTTGGGAATTGATGGCAATTACTGGGATGGGGCGAGCGGGCAGAGCGGAGCCCCGGCCCGGCGGAGCCGCTTCCTCGGGCGCGGAAAACCCGCGGGGGCCGCTCCGCGCCCGCGCCCGGGGTCCCGCGCGTTCCCCGGGGCCGCGGCCGGGGGGGCCAGGCTGGGCCGCGGCCCCCGAGCTCCGGGATCGGCGCAGCTCCGTCACCGGCTCGGTCCCGGCTCGTTTTTATCGCTATTATTATTTTATTTTGAATTTTGAGTTTTCCCTGCAGCCGGCGCGGGGCCGATCCCTGCCCGCTGCGGTCAATTGCCTGACCTCCCCCTTTCCTTGTGGGACTGGGGGGGTTCGCTGCCCAAATCCTGATCGCGATTTTCTCTGTGCTTTCCCTCGGCAGGCGTCAGGACGGAGCAGGACCTGTACGTTCGGCTAATAGACTCCATGACCAAACAGGTGAGAAAGTTTGCGCTTTCCCGGCCACGCCAGTTCCCAACTTTGTGCCGGGGAGGGCGGGGGGCGAGCGAACCGGAGCGCGGCCGCTTCTCATTGAGCTGAGCGGGTGAACCAGGGAGCTGCCGACCCAGATCCCGGTTACCGGAGGATATTTGGGAAACAGAAAACCGTGTGTTGTTGCTTTGCGAGGCAGCGTTGAGATCATTCGGTGGTGTGTGTGGCATGGAGGACAACGTCATGGGAACAGATGTTTGATATAATTAATTTAGCCAGGGAGAAAGGAAAGGGGTAAAAAAAAATCCCACCGAGTTACCCAGATTTATTTTAAAATGCGCTTTTCCCTCTCTGTAACTTTTTTTCTTTTTTTTTTTTTTTTGCCGATATTTTTTCCTCAGTGAGGAAAGGGCAACCCCTTCCCCACACTCTGAAACTGGCCGGGATTTGTCCTTTTTCTTTTATACCGCGAGCATCCAGTAACGCGAGACGTTTATTTGGATTTAAAAGTTAAATGTGCTGAGGTGAAAAGTCATCTTGTTCTCCTCTAGTCCATATTCACCTCTCAGCCCCCCATCTCCATAATTCAAACTCCATGCTCCAGGGGTCACCCAAACCCGTCCATTTCCCTGAGATCAGCTTCTGTTTCTTCCTCAAACCTCTGTCATACCTTGTAAATAACATAATTACAAGCAGTTCCTTATTAAATTATTTAACCTGTCT